ACGTGAGTAGATTCTAAACAAGGCTTTCTTGTAGTTGTGCTGCTTTTCCATGCATCAGTTTCTTTATCAGTAAAACAGAGACAATGTTCCTTATCTCTTGTAAAATGCTTTTAGAGATTTTTATTAATAGTAATGAAACATGCTACATATTGATATAGTTAGTAGGGTTACCATATTTCCAGTTTCAAAAAAGCAGACACCTGTTGGAGAGGGGGGACTAATACGATTGTTGTGGGGCAGTGATATGCCTGTGCCCTGCCTTTGCCCCTCACTCTCAAGCCACAGCCCCCCTAGTCCAGCTGCTGACCCTCACTTCTGACCAACAGTACTCACCCCCGACCATGCTGGTGCCCCACATTCCCCACCCACAATTAGGGGTGTGTGAAGCTTTGGTTGCCAGTTCAATTTGGAGAATATTCGGCCCAATTGGGAGGCTGAATCACTGAATCTGAATCGAATTGGGAGATCAAAAAACCATCCAAATCAATTCAGAAAAGATTCAGAACAAGATCTGGAGATTCAGAAGGCAGTCTTTCAGGGGTACAGAAACTGAGAAGCGGGAGAGAGAGCGGGGGTGGGAGGGAAAGACTGACATCTGTAGCTGGCAAGTGACTGTGATCTTTCCCTGAGTCCCCTTCCAATCACAGTGCTCTGGGGGAGGGACATAGAAACAACACATAAGCCTCTGTCTGCAGCCTTTCTGTCCCTTTTGTGAGCTGTTTCTGCCTGAGCACTGGGGAGGCCCTCTGTTACAGGCTACCATCCCTGGTGGTTTCATCCCGCTGTGCCTTAAAACTTGCACAAAGTCACGTCATGAGTTTTGCTTGTCTGCACCTTGAGGTACAGTTTCCCAGAAACCCCTGCACCTATCTCCATGAAACTTGGCAGGCTGCATGGCCTCAGCAGGGGCTACCATCATCGAAATCTGCCAAAAAATGACGAAGTTATAGGTAGTTCAGTGATTTCCCATTATAGTCTATGTCCAAATCTCTCCCAATTGGCACCGAATCTTCTGAAGCTGATTTGGCCAAATCGATTCGGGACAGTGATCAGAACCTCTGAATTGAATCACTGTCCTCTGAATTGGCCGAATCACAATCAAATACTTCCCTATTCGTGCAGGCCTACCCACAATCCCCCGCCTTCCCTGGTATCCCTCACTCTCAAACCACAGCACCCCCAGCCCTGCCAGTGTCCCTCACTCCCAACCCGCAGCCTCCTGTTTCCCCCAGCTCTGCAGCATCTCCTGACTACCCCACCCCTACAATCAAGGGCACTAACCCCAGTCTGCCAGCCAGGCCACACAGCTCCCTGCTTACCCCCACCCCTTTCCCATCCTGGGCAGGTACGTCCCCCACCCTGCTGCAGCCCCAGCACCCGGACAGCTTCCCCCAGTACAGCTTCCCCTGGCGCACGTGCGCATGCACCCCTCCCCCCCAGAGAGTCTCCAAGCCCTGGCCCTCCAACCTCCGCCCCCCATAGACTTAACTGTATCCAGCTGCCAGAGCTGCTCCCACCCCCTGCCTGGCTGTATGCTGGCCATGTGTGTGTGTGCATGCAGATGCATGTGATGCCCCTGCCTCCAATTGCCCCCTCCCCTGTTCCCCCCAGCTCTAAACAGCTCCTTGCTAGGGCAAGCCGGAAAGTGCCGGGGAAAACTTCAATGATGAGCAGAGCAAAATCCCAGGCATTTGTTGATATTTTTAAAAACTGCCCAGACAGAGATGAGAGGACCCAAAAAGAAGACATGTCCAGAAAAACCCAGATATATGGTAACCCTATAATGAGAAATTGACAATTTGTACAGTACATAATGCAAATTGAATTTCTCATGCAACTTTACACATAAGTTGCATTATAGTGTATATACTGGTAGTGTTAAAGATATGGCTTGATTTAAAAGTTTAATAGCAGCCTACACATGAAAACAAGTTTGAAGAAAATCAGTTTAAAAGCAATATAGATTCATAGAGTCATAGGTTGTTAGGGGCTGGAAAGGACCTTGTAGATCATCGGGTCCAGTCCCTCCATACTAGGCAGGAAACACAACTGGGGTCAAGTGACCCCAGCGAGGTGACTGTCCAGACTCCTTTTGAAGATTTCCAGGGTAAGTGACTGCACCACCATTGGAGGGAGTTTATTCCACAGTCTAGACGCAGTCTAAAACACAAAAAATGTATTTTTAAAATTGAATTTCCCAGAGCTTGGGACCTTCTTTAATTTTAGACGATCTTAATTTAGGTGTGGTCCCCTCTAAGATGTTTGTGAGGGGAGAATAGGCCTGAGTTGAGATTGCACAAAGTTCTAAACCACATTGTTGACAGATTGATTTTGGATTAAACTGTTTCCATTTGCTGACTTTCAGAACTTCGTAGATGAATGTAATTTTATCCAAATGTGTTTATTTTCTGTGACATAGCATAGGACTCTCAGAGATGCATACTCATCCTGAGTTCCTTTAGTAGAGGATGTTGCATTCCACAGGTGCTGAAAAAATAATGGCTACTACTGGAATATCAGAAAACAGCATTTATCCCTAGATCAAAAAAATTGGTTCTGAAGTTCAAGCACTATAAAATTCATAGTTTATGGTCTAGGTTTAGATGTTGGGGATAATGCAATGCTTTGCTTTTAATTTATATTTAATGAATTAAAGGTCTGACTCTTTTCATGCTTTACAAAGTCTAATGCTTTGTGGAGAATATCAATTGTAGACAAATTAAAACAGAAATAAATATGTAATTAGTGAGGAGAATGAACTTTTACAGATGACCTGGAAGAGGCAATATGAATAATGAAAGAAACTAAAATATGCTCTTCCCTTTGCCTCTTTTTTTACATTTTCTGTTCTTTTATATTGGCCTGAGATGTTATTCATTCTTTGCTCCTCTGATCAGGCACCAAAGAGAAAAGGTAGCATGTAATAAAGTTGAAGTATCTGTCATTTAAAGGTGGTGTGCTGTGAACAGTTGCTCAATGTTATTTGTTTCACTCTGTGAGAGATTGCTATGGATTTATAAAACCTACTGATATTCTTTAATGTGTCTTGCTTTATACATCAATAAATTTTCCACAGCTGTGGATGCTCAGAAGCAAGTCTTGTGAAATCTTTGCATTTTATAAGAGAAAAATCCGTAGACATCATAGCCAAGATCTACTCCAAATGCTTCCAGCTGCAGTTAGAGGGATGACTCATGCTGAAAGCTGAGGAGCTTTTCTATGAGTGCTTTACTCAGTTCACATGATTTTTTTTTTATTTTACATTCCTGTCTGTTTTTCTTTCCCTTAAAAAAATGTGAAGGAGATTCACCCAAGGAAAACCCGTATGAGGATGTAGAACTAAAAGGCCGTCACGCAAGTCGAAAATCCCAGCAGCTATCTGAGAATTCCCTAGATTCTTTGCACAGGATGTGGACTCCCCAGGACAGGAAGTACACAACACCTGCCCAGGTAATTCAGTGCTTTTTAGATTATTTGGCTTTGTTTTTTACTGTGATTTAAGTCTTTTCAAAACTTTTGCAAGAGAACCGTCTACAGCATAAGAGGAACAGTGGCTGTACTTAGCGGAGAAAGGAAAACAAGTTAATTAAACACATTAAATAGTTGTTACAAACAGTTTAACAGCCTCACTCTAGATACTCTTCAGCACTAATTTATTGTAAAGGCTGATTGTTATTTGGAACTGTTTTCATGTAGTTCCATTCAGAAAGTACCCTGGTTTTGGAAAGGAAATGCAGGCTTGTTTTGTCCTCTATCTTGTCTTTATGTTTATAATGTGAGGCCCACTTTATAGAAAGGTAACTTGTTATCTTAAACTGTTTCTACTTCCAACTATAAAAATCTAAATGCAATGTTTAATTGCACCATGCCAGGAGAAAGGGCAAAACATAGTTTTTAAAAAGAAAGAAAATGAAAGTGGGAATGCCTAAGTCTCAAACTGCTTCAGCTAGGTTGTGTGCACTATCCACAGCAAAATGGAAAGACCTGGAAGTCTGAGGGTTTGCATTTTGCTGTGAATTTAGCACAGCGTGCTGATTTTGTGTGAAAGTTGTGAAATGAAATACCTTTTTGTTTAGCAGAAAATCATTGGGCATGTTTACATGTGCAGCAGACTGCGCAGTTGTTACTGAGCAGTCATTTAGTACTTGCTTTAGTACTTGCTTAAGCACATACTAAATGACTCCTCAGTAACCAGTATTACTGTGCAGTCCCATTGCCGCACAGTTATTTTTAGCTGCTACTGCAAAGTAACAATGAGTTAATGCACCATAGCTCATTGCTGCCACCTTACCAATGAGCTGGGGTGCAGTATCTTGTTGCTATGGCAATGTAGCATCTCATGTAGACGCACCCATTGTGTCCCAAGGCAAATATACAAAATACGCTTACAATTCCATTTGGAGGAAGATATTTTTTAATTGAATCAAACAAAATTGTCTCCGGCTAATGAAATTGCAGGGGCTGGACAGAGGCTAAGGCATGAGCACCGCCATCTTCCTATTTGCATATTGGATGATTTAAGCTAATTTGACAGAGTCAGGGCCCATCCTAGCCTGGGTCCCTTGTCAGTTGCCCTAGTTACTTGTCCCTAAAAATAGCTTTTCCCTCCACTGATACTCTTTTTTCCTCATGGGACAGGGAATTTACATCAGATTCTGTCACTATTTTATTGTCTTTTTACTGAGATATAAAACAAAAATGCAGTGACAGTAGGTCAGCTGTGAGCCTGTGTAATTCTCCAGTGAGCAGAAGTAGCAAAGTCACCATTTCCTAGTGAACAGCAACTCTGCCTACCATTCATCACTCAGCTTTTCCAGCCTCAGTACTATTGCTGGTATTCCCTTAAAATTATGCTTTATGATAAACAAGATGGAAGGGATCAGGAGGTCAGCAAGCTTTGGAAAGTCATCTCCCAGCTGAATTCCTCTTGCTAAAATATAGGACACTGAGGATTTTCCTGGCACAAGGGCTTGTGGTAAGCAGCAACCTCAGAAACACTGGCCTGCGGTCCTTTGGAAACCCACTGTTTTTGTGGTCTTCTCCCTTCTCATTTGTTATTATAATAATTGAAGTATTCAAATAAGAAATAAACTTGTTATTGATGACAATGTTTCTTCTTATAGTGAATAAAATCTGTAGTAACATTTATAAATTTCACTTAATAGACCTTCCATTCAATTTAATAGGAGTTAGATCAGGCTCTAGACTAGTTCCCTCTTGTTGCCATGTCTTTAATTTCCATGAGAGAAAAAAAAAACATGTCAAATGATTTTTGTTTCTGCAGCTGCCTTCAAAGCCCAGCAGCCAATCATTGCGCATTGGAAACTGGTCAGAGAGAAAGAGCCATCGCTTACCACGCTTACCCAAAAGACACAGCCATGATGACGTGCTGCTTCTGGCTCAGCTTGGTATACCTTCATCACCCTCCAGTCTGAATGATGACAGTCTGAGTACCACGAGTGAGCTGCTGTCCACGCGCAGGGCCAGAAGGATCCCTAAGGTAATGGCATCTATACTCTAGCTGCAGCTAAGCTTTAGTCAGAAAGGTCCATTTGCAGATTTTAGCAAAAGTTCTGGAATTGACTCAGTGGGACCAGATCTTCACGGCCACTCTAGCAGTGCAAAGAAGTCCTAAACTTGGTTTAACTTTCCCCTAATTCATGCTCTCAGCATTGAGGAATTCTTTAGTGATGTGGTAATGCAATAGTAGTAACTGTCCCACTCCTCATCCTGCCTTATGCCTAGGGGACTGGAGAAAAGGAGATGGCCAGGTTAATCCCAGCTCCTAGAATGGCCCATTGGGACTAGCATAAATTAGAACAGCCTCCAGGGTTCTCTAACTAGGAGTTGGTATCTGGGCAGGTACAGATTCACCCTAATCCAAAGGCAAAACAGGTGGCAAAGTTCTTGCTTTGCTTGGAAACAAGTCTTCTGCAGGGTACAGCAGAAAGATGTGCAAAGATCTCCACATTGGAGATTTTACCATCTGCACACAATTTAGCCATCCATTTAAGTCTGTTTTTCCCCAGAACAGGAAATTTGGGGTCCAGACTGAAGCACCTAGGAACCCCAGGGAGTGGAGGGCTTTTTCTTTTATGCACCATCTGGCTGCATGCTGCAGCACAGAAACAGAGATTCCCACCCTTGGAGTGGGATGACTCTATGCTGCTCCCATAGAGGCAAATAGGACCCAAAGACTTGTGCAGCTCTTTGCCAGGCTGACCTAGCTTGGTCATGTAAAGAGAATCTCTACTATGAAAAAAACATGTTTTTCTACTCTGAGCAAGAGAATGGTAGTGTGCTCATCTCAGTGGTTTGATCCATTGCTATGTATTATGTTCAGTATGCATTTGAAACTGTTTTTTCCTCTCTTATTTATGGTAACTGTTCCCAAGGAAATCACCATTGACCTAATATGGTTCCCATTGTTTACTCATAGCCTGTCTGGTCCTGATAAACTCATTGTCTCTTTAGATTTGAACTGAAAATGAATTAAATTTGAACTGTTTCAGCAAAAAAATGAATGTCAAATTTAAAGTAGGATGTGAAATAACTGTCTGTCACAATAGAGGCAAAAGGAGAGAGTTGCCAACACATTTATTTTTATTCTGTGAACAAAGCTAGCTTTTACTGTACATTCAGCTTTTTCCTGTTCTATTAAAGAGTGTTTTTAAAACTTCAGCTATAAATACAGTATAGAAAGAAAAGAAAGATTTTTTTTATATTCTTGTCCTTTAGTCTGAAGTTCTGCCTAAGTAGAAAGAACTGAAATGAAGGCAATTAATCCTATATCCTTAAATAATTATGTTAGGTCCAGATTTTGATACCTTTACTCTCACCTAGTGTAATACTTTACTTGTTCAAGTAGTTCCAATAACTGGATTTAGTTATTAGTCAGTTCGAATAAAACTTGGAGAACTTGGCTTTTAAGTTTGCATGTCATTTCTGAATTTGTTCCTCTGATTTAAAAATCTCAAGGAGCCTTTACATTTGCTCTGGGGGGAGGGACGAAGGGAGCCACTCTAATTAAAGCACTTGCAGTGTCTCGTGTATTCAGTGTCCTGCATTTCAAAATGGCAAGCTTTAGAACACCCCTGCTGCCATTTTGAATCATGACCTGAATACATGAGACATTGAGTTTGCTTGAGCATACTAATAAACTGTAATTACAACACATTGAAGTAGCTGCCCCACACATCTAGAGGCACCCTCATTTTCAGTGATGGGAATTTTAATAAAATTCCCATTATATTTGGTATACTTTATCAAAAAGCTCTACCTACTAGAATAATGTGATTACTGGTGAATCTGGGCTTTCATTAAAAGAATAGTTTATTATTAGCCTTCACAGTTGCAAAGAATAGCTAAAAAATGTGACCACCTAAACCAGTGATTCTCAACTAGGGTGCCGTGGCATGCTGGGATGTCATGAGATCCTTTTAAGGGTGCCATGCAATAAACCCAGAGATTTCAAATAGGAATCCATAATGTCAACAGATTCTGATCTGTTGTGGTCTTTCTGAATTCCCTGCAACAGAGGAATTGCTTTAGTATTTTTCCATTGTCAAAACATGAGTTAAAGCTAAGAGCTAGCATTTTCTGAGTCTAAGATAGGGTGCCTTGAGACTAAAAAGGCTGAGAAAGACTGCCCTAAAGGCTCCAAAGCTAGAGGCAAATCTAAAGAAGTTGACTTTTTTACATTGTTAAACACACCATTTTTAAATGAGTCCTGTGATTTCAGGGAGACCTGGCTTGCTTTTTTTTTAAATAATTGTGGTTGGTGATCCAGGGGACTCACGTGAAATAAAATCAGGAGACTGCTTCATATGCTTATGAGACAGAATTTCAGCTTCTCCCTTCTTTTCTTTGTTCCCCTCTCTTTCCTCCTTTTGTTTCTCTGGTTTAAATGGTCTCTACCAACTTGGCAACCATATCTCCATTTGCATGTTCTGGGTTTCTTGGAGGCTAGAACTGAAATAGGCATGAGGGAAAAGATTTATACGTCTCTTTTTAGTATCTTTGCTTTGCAATTGACAACCCTTTGGGGTCAGCGAGTTTTGCTGTTCTGTCCCTGTTTTCACTCAGAGCAGCTTGAAGGGATCTTGATTTAACTGTGTCCAGCTGAAACTAGACAGATAGCAGGCAGTCAAGTGCACTCTGAAGAAGAAAGGAGGAAGGAGGTGAACAGGGAGCAAAAGAGGTGTTGTTATTGCCCATTCAGGAGTCCCTTTAAATATCAACACAGGTGGTAGGGGAGCAGTCTTACCATTATTATTTACCATCTTTTCTTTATTAGAAAAAAAGTTTGTAACATTTTTTTTCACTCAAAATTCAGGACACATTGTCTTCATTTAAAAGGTGCTCAATCCCAAACGAGTATTTAGAAATTAGATAATTTAAAGAATACCACATTGACAGGGTCCTTTGAACCCACCCCCCACCTCCTGGTATTAATAAAGAGGCTATGTGCCAGCAGGGCTTGTTGGTAGGAGGCCTTGCTTTAGACCAGAATTTGTGAATTCAAATCCTGCTCAGGATGTCTGCTCATATTTGGTACTGGTGTGCCTGGGTAGCGTTGCATTATCAGAGGCACTGGACCTCAGATGGGACATTAAATGGAAGTCCTGCTGTAAGTAGTATTTGCTTTGGCTTACTAAGTAAAAGCTAATGAACACTTGAATCTATTTGACTAGACTAAAGGGAAACGGCAGTAAAACCATTCTTGATAAACCACCTCAAATGCCGCAGGCTGAGTCAGCAGTAGCTCCGTGCAGAACGGCTGCTGGCTTTGTGTACCACACACAGGACTTGGGGCCGTAGAGTTATTTGGGAACCTTTGTATCAGTTTCCATAGGTTCTGGATCAGGCCATGAGGCCCAGATTTTTAACAGGATTTAATGAGATGTTAGGTCTTTTGAATCATGCAACACTGAGTGCACCAAAGCTGACATAACCATAACTCTGAGCCAGACCAGTGTGTGACTCATCATGGTAAAGCACCTTGAGCTGCCTTTAGTCAGGAAGATCCATGAAAGGAAATGAGTAATTGCAACACACCCCCTCACTGTTGACCTTGGCATGTCTGGTTGCACTGCCTCCGCACGTCATTTGCCCCATATCTGGGTGAGATTTCCTGAAATTACTGTACAGTAGCAGCCAAGCTCTCTAACACCATTTGTGCGTGTACAGCTTCCAGGCCAATACAGCCAGGAGCAAGACAACAAGCAGAGCAGGTTTCAGTTAATCTGAATGGTATGGTGAGCAGCTATAAAAAGGAAACACCAAATACTTGTGTAATTTAGGCAAGCAGTATCTTGACTATAGGTTAAGGCTGTGTCCCAAGCTCATGATCATACCAGCATAAATGAATACAGCTCCTGTGAGCTTCCACTTGTGTAACCAAGAGCCGAAATCAAAGGACGACAACAATGTTTACCACCTAAACTAGGTAGTCATTTCATGATATGTCAAAGCAGAGATAGTGTGATCTCTCTAGCTAACTGTGTGTAGGGGCCTGGTGACTGCTGTGTTGCAGATTATTCTCTGTTACTGGCCTCCTGTGTGGCTTTGAGCAAATTACTTAATCGCACACTTGCCTATTTCCTTACCTATATATACAATGACATAATACTGACTTGTACAAATCACATTGAAATTCTACATTGAAAACTGCTATGGAAATTCAACATATTGTTAATGACTCTTGGGCTATTGTGATGATGAATTGCTTAATATTAATAAGGAAGTTGAAGTTTATAAAGTGCTGTGTAAGTGCTGATTATGAATTCCACTTTCTATGTCAAAGTTTCTGAACACCAGTTTTCTGAATAGTATCAGCTCGGGTGCATGTATTTCAGTTAGCACATCTCCGTGGTGCTGGGAACAAGGCTGACTTTCTGATAAATAGTTATTTTCAAGATTAGCCCTTTTGAGGAAGAAGCAGTAAGTGTGGCTGACCACAGGTCAAAATTCCACTTTGATGGAATGTGGCAAACTGGAAGCTGACTTCAAAAAGCTTCAGTAAGTGAGGATAAGATTGGAGAAAACAAATATAGTTCAAGTGAAGACTACTACTACTAATACTATGAATAATAATAATAATCCCCAAACCAAAAAACACCACTATAGTCCAAATTCAGCAGTGGATTCAAGAACAGTGCAAGGAGAGTGTGGCCCTCCTCCCCACAACACATGCACATACACTTTGGCTTTGGCTTTGAGCTCACTGTATGGTCAGTGCAGGCTCCTGCCAGATCTCTGTGTGAGCTTTGAGCTCACCAGCTGATCATGCTGAGGTCTGACTGGAGCACCTGCTTTTGCGTCGCTCCGGAGCCCATGGGGTAAATGCTGCTGCTCTTTGCTCTTTCCCTCCAGCCTCCTACCTGCTGAATTCAGCAGAGGATAGGAGGAAAAGAGTGGCAGTGGAAGTGGCAGCGCTCACCCCCTGAGTTCCTGAGCTATATGAGTGCTCTGGCCAGACCTTGTGCTAAGAGTTCACATGTGATGCACCTAAAGAGCAGTGTGACCATGCACTGTGCTCCTTTGGATCCTTCCCTATCCAGATCCTCTGCTGATGTATATCAGTGGAGCTACACTGATTTATGCCATCTCTGTTTCTGATTCTGTATCTCAAAATTAGGGCCCAATTCTGCAATGCTTAAGTGAACAGACTAAGACTCCAGTTCTGATAGGTAAGTACCTAGGCGTCAAGAGGACAATTTGTGTGCTTCAAATTAGCCATGTTTTAAGGACCTTCCTGTGTTGAGGTGTAAGACAATGGGAGTTTGCCCAGGTGAGGACCACAGAATCTGCCTAATAGATAATGCAGACAGAGAGAGAAACAATGGGGTTGGAGGGGAGAGGGGAGCAAGGGAGCAAAAGAGAGGGAGGGAGAAGGATAGAAGTAGGGGAGAGAGGTGTGTAAGGTAACATTTTCTAAAGCCACTCAGGAGCATTTATCTCATTGGGCTTAGATTCCTTTTAAAATCAGGAAATAGGTTCCTAGGTCAATTTAGGCATTTTTTCAAAAAAAATGACACGCATATTAAGGGAAACAGGGATATTTTCAGCTGAGACTCAAATGCAGGTGAAGTGTCACTGTAGTAGAGAGAATGGAGAGGCATTTCCCGCTGGTAGAGGCTGCAGAGGACAAAGCTCTCATACTAGCATGTGGAACAACAGAGAGAACTAATTGTATAGACATAAACAGTATCTTGAGAGAGAAATGTTTATTTTCATTATCTATTAATTTTGTTTTGCAGCTTGTACAACGGATCAATTCCATATATAGTGCGAAAAGAGGGAAAAAGAGATTGAAGAAGCTTTCAATGTCCAATATTGAAACAGCATCACTGCGAGGTATAACACCGACCTCTTGGGCTAAATAAGCCTATACAGTTTGTTGCGTTAGGGATTGTTATTTCACCTCCTGCAGAGATTCCCTTCTTTGATCCACAGGATACACGTCCAGGGATCTTCTGCACTCATTTTATATGCTGGTTTTCATTAATGTCTGTGTTCGGAGGAAAATGGACTGTGTTAAAATTAAATTAGGTTGTACGGCAATGTCTATCCCACCTATCCCCAAGGCTGGCAAAACGCATCAGTCCATCCCATCTCTTAAAACAGGGGTGGTCAACCTGTGGTATGTGCCAGAAGTGTCACAGGCAGCCTCTGTATGTGGCACCTGGCAGATAGAGAAAAGGACAGCACAGTGGCAGGTAGGGCAGGGAACAGAAAGTGGAGCAGTGGATTGGGCAGGGAGGACATGATAGGGAGCACAGTTCAGAGTAGCAGATTAAGCCAGGGAAAGGGATAAGATTGGCACTCAGGGAGGGTGCAGGGCTGCTTAGTGGCCTGCCTGCCAAAAAGTTTGACCCTCACAGTCTTAACTTCTGCATTTTGTATCTGCAGCTGCACAGAATACATAGACTTGACTCTGAAATTAATTCATGCTTTTTCCTGATGCAAAACTATGACTTTATTTTTGTAGTCTGCAAACTGCACCACCAAGAAAAGCTGGCCTTTTCATGAAAAAACAAACAAAAGAGTTTCTAGATATTTATATTTTCAGAGAGAAGTAATTCAGAAAACTTCCATTTTCTCTTCATTTTGTGGTATATGCAAGGGTGGGTATTTGCAGACTTGTGTGACCACATGTATATAGCTGAAGCATTATGAAGTTAATACAAATACTCTTCACAAATATAGCTTGTCACTTTTCATACTGTTCATATTCCATGCTGCTGATTTGTCAAATCAAGACCTTACACAAAGTCCCCCAGGCCTGTCCTGGAACTCCCTTATGCTGTGCAGCTGTCTTGCAACAATATAAAGGCTAAAAACAAGAGGGACTGGAATCAGTTTTCAAAATGATGCATCCAGCCACGTGGTTTAACACACCTGAGGAGTCATTGCTAATAAACTTTGCTGTGGTACAAGACTTTGTACTTGCAGCTAATCTGTGCTCTAAACCTCAAGCATCAGAATAAATCCATTGTAAGGACCCCATCTTTTACAGATGACCACTTATTCCATGAGGTTTTAAACTCCAGGGGAGAGCATGCCAAATGCAGGGCTGATGGTGAGACATGATTATTTTCCCAATCGCACTGAAGTGACTAAAGTAGCCATTTGATTTTGTTTTGCTTTAACAGACCCCTCTTTTATTTCTTTTGCAGATGAGAACAGTGAGAGTGAGAGTGACTCAGATGACAGGTTTAAAGGTGAGGGCTCATGTCTGCATTAGCTTCCAGCCACAGTCATGCCTGCCTTGCCCATTAAAATAAACACTCCTGTCACTGCAAGTCATTCCTATTGGAATTTGACTTCTTCTCTAAATCAGTGTTTTTCAACCTGTGGGTCGCGACCCAAAAGTGGGTTGCAAGAATATATGAGAGGGTTGTGAACAAACTTTAAAGGAGAATCCATTTTTAAAGGAGAAAAATGAAGGAAACTATGACTTTTCCCTTGAAGGCTGGCAGAGTTCCAGCCTGCAAGGGGCTGCTTGGAGTTCCCCATACCTCCCACACACCCACCCTGTGCCCCACATGCGGAGGGGCTGGGACCTAAGGGCAGGGGGCAGCAGGTTGGGAGTGAGGGGCGTGGTGTTGGGACTGGCCATTTATGTTTACAAATGGGTCCTGGTACAAAAAAGTTTGAGAACCACATTGCTTTAAATTATATTGAATTTGCTGCCTCATGGCTTCTTTTGGCTACTTTCAAAATGCTGGGTCATGAATATGACATAAATATTGGAAATTGAGGGTATGAAGAAGTGTGAGGATCTAACTGGGATTTGAGACTGGAGAATCTACTGAGCATAAAGAGGAGTGGCAGGTGTGAGACTGGGCTTTGTTAGCTCTGCATATGCTGGCATTTTCCCGATTGACACCAGAGGCTTGCTTAGAAGGTTGTATGGGGATATAAGTCTACAAACTTCAAATAGTAAAAACTTCTTTTAAGCTGTGCAGCAAGGAAGTTAGCCCCAGCACACCCACTGCTTGGTTCCAGTCAAAGGTTCTAGCCCCTTATTTTCAGGAGTACTGAAATTCGGACAAAACTTTAAAAAGGAAGAAAAACAGAGTTTGAGAACTTTTATTGTCTGTAGCAGCAACTGTTTCTCTTTTTTAAAAAGCCCACATTAATGACGATAAAGTAGAGCAGGCATGGAGAATTGTGGTTCTGAGGTGGGGGTGGAATTGCGGAGAGCTGTATCTTTATCTATAATAAAGCTGGAGCCACAATGGGTGCCATCCTTTTTCTGCTCTCTTGGGAGAAACGGGCAGGATTCTGACTGGACAAATTCAGTTGAAAAAAGCTCTTTCTGTTCCAGGTGGTGTTAATGGGGCTTTGCTTTACACGCTCAAAAACAAATGCTTCCCTTTGTCCATATTTATTTTTTGTCCCAAAGTGTGGACTCAATATAACCTGTCCCTGGTCCCAAGCAGCTTCCTCATGGAAGAGGGAGAGAGCACATTTTCAGCCCAGATCAGCCACAAATAGTAAAAAAGCTGTCACAAATGTATTCACTGGCATGATTCAGCTGGACCATTCACCTTTTGGCCTAATGGTCCAGATGAGGAGTCTGGGGCTTATCTGTGGGCTGGATTGAGCCCTGCCTGCCAGTATCAGGTCCTGGGGCCTCGTGCTGCGTCAGCATACCAGAATTGAGCTCCAGCAGCTGTGCATTGCCTCTGCCAGCTGAAATCAGGTTCTGGGACTCTGTGCCAATTTGGCCTGCCAGGATCGGGCTCTGGGGGTTGCACACCACTCCCACCTGGTCCCATGTGCCAGGATCAGGCCTGTGGCATCCCTGCTGTAAACCATTATTGTGCTCTGAATAGTGGAAGAAAATGGGAGGGTTGTCTGTCCGTGTGTGACTGGCATGACTGTTTCAGGGTTCAGAGGGGGCCCCTGATCATGATTTGCATTTTTTGCTAAGGCTGTGCAACCACAAGGCACTGCAAGTTTTGCAATGTGAAAGTAGCTGAATCATGCCAGTGCCCCTTCCTTTGTATTATATCAAAATTACTGTTACTGTGTTCAGTGATGGCCCAATGCCAGCTGATGACCAAGGAGCTTCCTTCAATATCTGTACAATTAATTTGGTGCTGCCATGATCCATCAATTATGATGTCACAATTCATTGCTGTGGAAGAGGTTTTGTCTGCAAACAGGAAGTTATTGGAATAGAAATAGCCATGTCTGTTTGCAGATCTAGGGCCAAGTTATGGCTGTCCCAAGGATAGGGATCCCATAGAGAGAAGGTGGGGAAGAGGATATGGAGAACCATTTCCACTTGGTACCTGTATACTAGATGCAGCAGTTGTATGACATCTCTTACTGCCTGATCAGTCTGGGAAAGGGCACCTCACCTGTACAGGCAAGTGGGGACATGTCTGGATCAGAATAAGGCATGGCTGTGACTCCAGCCCTACCCCATGCACTAGTTAGTATCAGAAAGGCAACCCTGTGGGGAACTTGAGCCACACCTTCTCTAAAAGCAACAACTTGTCAGAGCTGGTGGTACTTGGCACTCATGGAACAGGTGCTGCGCCTTATGTCTTAGAGCAAGGGTGCTCAGCTTCTGGCCCATGTGCCAAATGGAGCCTGTAGAGCCATGGCATCCAGCCCACTGGACTTCCCAATGGTCAGGAAATGTAATGGTGGGGGAGAAGTGGCAAGTAATACTGCCACTCCTCCTTGCTGCCAATTTCTGCAGGGCCAGATCAGGGGTCAGGCCGTGTATACCCCCACTTCCTCCTGCAGCCATATCGGGGCCAGGCCATGCCCCCTCCAACCCACACAGCCAGGTTGGGGTCAGTCTGTGTCCCCTTCCCTTCCCCTGCATGGCAAGATCAGGGCCAGGCCACAAGTCCCTTCCCCTCACCAATGCGGCCAGATCTGGGTTAGGCCATTCCCCCCTCCCCCATGGGGCCTGACAAAGGCTGGGCTGGTCCTCAACACCCCCACACAGCTGGATCAGGCCCTGCCTCACCACCTCATGCACTGGATTGGGCCCACTGGCTGGATCCGGTCCACAGATGGACTGAGCAGCAGCCCAAGGGGAAAAAAGATGGGGCACCACTGTCTTAGACATGCTCAAGTGCTGCAGACCCCACAGGGGAACACAACCAGCCTTTGGTTTACATGAAATATCTTGGTCATAATTGGCACCCGTGGGTCAGGAACTGCAGGAAACCTTGCTAATTGTTTTATTGGGGCTGCAGCACAAACCTGTATTAAAGCTTAACTGGTTTTAGAGTTGGCCCTTAATAATACATTGCATGTTGAATTCTGATCTGATTAGCTGCCCTAATAAACATACCAACCCCATTGTTTCAAGTGAAATTGTGAACATACAGATGGGAGCAGCTGAACCTGATAAGTGAAGAAAAAAACAGATCTTTGGCAAGGGTAAAGTTATGAGCTGCTAATGATTCTACTAGCTTAGTGTTGCATTGCTTAAGTACTTGGAGAAGTTTTTGATTTATGGATGGAATTAATAAGAGAGATCAGTGCACAAACGCCTACATTTAAAGGGGAACATGCTTGGAGTAGTGTTTTTGGCAGGTTGAAAGTCCTTTGTGAATTACCATAGCTTACTTGTCTATTGCCAGGTAATGATTTTTCCTTCTCTCTTTTTAATTGTCAGCTCACACCCAGCGTCTAGTTCACATCCAGTCAATGCTGAAGAGGGCTCCTAGTTATCGGACACTGGAACTGGAGCTAATTGAATGGCAGGAGCGGGAGCTGTTTGAGTATTTTGTGGTGGTTTCCCTGAAAAAGAAACCCTCAAAGAATACTTATCTCCCAGAAGTGTCTTATCAATTTCCCAAGGTAACCTAATAACATATTTCGTTTGCAGAGGGTAATTTTAAACCCATCTTGAGATGGCTTTGGCTAAGCTCAATGAAGTGGGCAAATGGGACAGTTAGGTGGTGTTTTGAAGGTCTGGGTCAAAAGGCCTGGTTTTGGGAAATGTATCCAGTGTGGACAGAAAAAAATGTGAGGCCTTTTCAAAAATATTTTTCATGTTTTACAGAATCTCGTTTTTCCAGAACTAAAGTGTAACTTAAATGCAAGCACCGAATTTATGAGTTTCAATTCAGTTTCTAAACATTTAGCAGGCATTTTTACTCAGATCTGGCCATAGGATCTAAATACTGTCTTATCCAAAGCTCTAGAAATCAGTTTGAAAGATTGTGGATTGTGCCCCTAGAATGGAAATGAAATTGAAATTTAGTTTTGAGATACATTTGAAAGTGCTAAAGTACAATGACTAGGGAAGGACATTAGGTTGCTGAGAGACAATGCAGCTTCAGTCCAGGTTACAAAACGTTAGTAATGACAATTTTTACTGAAGTAGCTGCTAGCTGTCCCCGTCATGAAGCAGGGCCTGGTCTGTTAGGCAGTGTACAAAAAAAGTCTAAACAGATGGCTCTTGCCCCAAAGGACTTGTTAGAAAACCTGTTGCTTGAGTGTATTTGTGATTGGCTGGCTTTATCTGGATACATGTGAATCATTTCCTTTCTACTACAGCTAGAAAGACCCACTAAGCAAGTACGTGAAGCAGAGGAGCGTCTCAAAGCCATCCCCCAGTTCTGCTTTCCTGATGCCAAGGATTGGGCCCCAGTATCAGAATACAACAGGTAAAGCCTCCTGTATGCATCTTCCACCAAGTGCTCTGGATGCCTGGGCTGAGCCCTGGCCCCAGTAAGGAAGCAGCAGTTTGATTCTCAGCCATTTCAAACTTGTATAGATGTATTTGCTTTTTTTTTTTTAAGTTCCATAATATTGCTCTCCTTTGTTCTGCTTGATTCTCAGTCCTGTGTGGTTTGGGAAAGGGAGCTGGAGAGTTGACCACAGCTCCAAGTTCCAATACAGAAATGAAGGGCTAGGCCTGATTCTTTACTGCCCAGCACCTTGTGTTTTCCCTAGGAAAAAGTGAATGCAATGTTTGTAAAGCACTGCAGGCTAGCTGCTTTGAGTCTTCATGGGTTTCAGTTGGGCTCTGCTTCGCTAAGCCGGCTGTGTAAGTGGCAGAATCCAAGGGAGGACCAGGCCCTCAGTTCTCTCTTCTTCCAGAGGGAAACTTCAGCATGTCTCCATCCTTTTCTCCTGCTCCACAGTTAGCAGACGGGTAGATGGATAAGAGCAGATAATTCAAAATGTTAATTTGAAACAGATTTTCAACATGCTGACAGGAAATATGTGTCAATGAAATGAGACATGTTGTGGAGTGTGTCTTTGAGTTGACTGACTGTGGTGCAACACCAAGCTAGCACTGTGGTAGCACAATCCTTAAGTGAATTACTGAAGCCAAAAAGAATGGATTGGGTGTTTCATGGGCTTGCAGGGCACAAAACACATACGCAGTAGAGCTGTGCGAAATTTCGGCAGCAGGACTCCAAAATGAAAATCAGGGCTCTGAAACGAAATGGGCTGTTCGAAATGTTTCAGAAATTTTCTGAAATGATTTGGATGTTTCCGAAATGTTTCAGAGGCAGGCTTGCAGGGAAAGAGGGAGGGGTGGGGGGGAAGGACTGCTCTGATATTAACATCTGTAGCTGGCCAGTGACAATCTGTCTCTGAGGTCCCTTCCAACCCCAGTGCTGGGGAATTGAATTGGGGGCTGGGGAAGGTCCCTGAACATTTCCCCTGTTCCTGGCTGGGTTCCCCAGTTCTCTGATTGCTTCCCCCAGCTCTTCCCGGGGAGCACGGGCTCCCGGATGATGTGGCTGCTGATGCCAGCTGGTGATGGCGGTGGCTCTGGGCTATTTCCCCAGCTGGCAGCGGCAGGCTGCTGAAACCCCACACCCACATCCGGGGCTCACGCCCTCCAGAAAATGCTGAGGGAATGATCAGAGAGCTGGGGATTGAACCGGGAGCTCTGGCTGACTGCTGGAGCTGCCCCAGCTCCCAGGCAGTGCATGGTGCTCTGCCGAGCCACGCTGCACCTTTGTGATACTGCAGCTGCCATGTGGGTGCCAGGCGGGGGGGGGGGCAATCCCCACTGCCCCCACTGCCCTGTGCTGCATGGGGGGCTCTGCCATGAACCCTCAGAGGCCCCAGTCACTGTTGCCAGAGCTGGTGAGTGCGGGGCCTTTTTAAACTCCGTGCTCACCAGTTGCAGAGCATGTAGATGATAGCATGCTGCTGGTGCCAGCACCTGAGTCTGCCCGGCACAGCCTGTGCTGAGTGCCAGGAAGAACCCAGTGCTGCCACTGGCCCCAGCAGGCAGTGGCAGCCTGCTGTCATCCCGCACGCAGATCCAGGGGCCTGTGGTGCCCGGAGGGCTGCGGGGCTGTGCCAGACTCCTCCCAGGGGGAACGGGCCCCTGGATCTGCGTACAGGATGACAACAGGCTGCCGCCAAGTGATACACATTTGCTTTGAACAGTTTGAGCTGCAGTTTCACAAAACCCCCTGTACCTACCTCCTTGAAACATGGCAGGCTTCATGCCCGCAGCAGGAGCTACCATTCCTGCAGTTTTTACCCCACTCTGCCTTCACATTCACATGTCATGAATTTTGCTTTGAAGTGCAGTTTGAAGTGCAGTTTACCAGAAACTGCTGCACCTATCTTCTTGAAACATAGCAGGCTTCATGGCCTTAGAAGGGGATAGCATTCCTGCAAGTTTCATCTGAATCAGGCAAGCAATGACAAAATTATAGGCAGTTTTGTGATTCCCCATTATAGCCTATGGCCGAAACACCATTGAAATTCTGAAACAGCTCCGAAACAGTTTTGGCCGAAATGAAATGGGGCAGTGATTCAAAACACCGAAACAAATCACTGCCCCTCCGAAACGGCAAATCCTAAAGCCATTTTGGACAACCCTACAAAACATCGAAATGAAACACTGTCCCTCCAAAACGCCAAATCCAAAACCAAAACAAAATGCAGGCGTTCTGCATGATGTATTCTGTATTGTTTGGCTATATAACTCAGTGCTTGCTAGCACCTAAATTATGAGAGATTAAAAACACTGAAGGAGCATTAGACTATTGTGTGGGCACTGTCTGTACAAGCTTCCAGTAGCTCTGCTAACAACATTGTGCAGATCCTTATTATTGTGTGATCCTAGACAGATTTCTGATTAGCACATGTTTGTGAAACATACATGGCTGATGTTTTCTGTAATTATATAGACCATGGTAATTCAGCACAAACACAAAAGTGTTTCAGCAAGCTTGAAAAAATGATCGTGAATGCCTGTCGGCCCAGGCACAAATCCATTCACCTACCCCTTTTCCTTTATGATAATTATTGTTTTAAAAAATTAAGATGTTTAATTTGGTCTGCCATAAAATATTATTTGCCTTGGCATACAGGAGTGGAATTTTGTAGGATTGTGCTGTTCCCAGTTCAGAAGATGATCAGTGTCACTTGGATGCAGTGTGTGTGTGTGTGTGTGTGTGTGTGCGCGCGCGCGCTTTAAATGAAAACTTTTGGTGGAGGAAGAAAGGAGGAAAAAACCCAGCCTAGATATAACTGCAGATATGGGGCAAAATACCAGTTGATTGTGATCCTGATTCCCTTGTCCCCTGCAAAAGCAGTTTTGTGTAGATGAGACTTGAGACCCATATGCTTTTGTAGGCTGGTGACCAAATCCTTCAGTGAAGTATAGGGCCTCATGCAACATTGTTGCTGGGTTTCGTCCCTAAGGTTGGGATCCATAATCCATGGCAGCGTGCCCTGATACAAGGTGGATCATATGCTGGTATTGAACTGGCTTAGAAGCTCCTTATCATAGCTTCTAGTATAGAGGGCACAGACAGATTAAAACAGATGTGGTTTGGATACCTCAGTAGTGCAAAAATTTCCAGCTAGGGTTTCAGATTGCTGAAGCCTTTGAAACCCAGGTAAATTCAGGTTTACTTAGCACACAGTAGTGTCAGCATCAAGGATTGTGAAGTGAGGTTTATGTTATATAATTACCCCTCCAAAACTTGTGCTGTTATTCTTGGGTGGTGGCCAAGGGCCTAGTTCTAGTTCTTTGAACCTATTTTATAAGGTTTAGAAGGGAATAATCTGGTAGATATTCTTCCCCACCAACATGATAATTCAAAAAAGCAACAGCTGGGTAATAATGCTGCGCCCACTTTGAAAGTACCTAGGCTGCTTCAAACTCATCAGTCTCTGCTGATTGAAAAGAGGGCAGAAAAAAAGTCCTGCTATAATAATAACAACATCTTGGGTGATGTCTGTTACAGTGAGACCTTCTCTTTCATGCTGACTGGAGAAGATGGCAGCCGAAGGTTTGGTTATTGCAGAAGATTACTGGTAAGTACATCAACTTCAGTTCTTTCCAAGTATAAAAGTCTGTTGTGTGTCTTCATTCCAGGGTGGCAGTTACCCTGTGCAAAAATGTGGCGTTACCACAGTCTTGGGACAGGAGCAAATCTTTTATGGGTTTCATGGAAAACTATCTATCACACTGAAAGTTTGAAATCTAAGAAGTTCAGATACAACAAGAACTGACTTGAATCTTGGTCTGCATCAAACTGAACTAAATCCTTTAGGAGGGTCATAATGCTATATGAAACACTGGATGCAGTAGAGGACAGCAGGGGGAAAGCTGGAGGGAATGAATGTGAGGGTAAATTAATGGTTCACCTAAAAGCTAAACTACCCTTATTGGAACAGGCAAATGCAATCAAGTTGGGGGCCAGCAGCACAGCTCAATTACTTTTAATGTTTGCCACCACTGGAAAATAAATAATGTATAGATAACATTGGCAAAGCTTCCTTGGAAAATGTTAGCTAGAATGATATTATGGAAACTATTCTCTCCACCAAATAAAGGGAGTATAAAAGTAACAAATTTATGAAAATATCAGTAAGCTTTATATCTTGCCTAGATCTCACCTTTGATTGAGTAAGTTCAAGACAGAAGTTCCTGGATCAATTTTTCACTTGATATGCCCAAATGTGGATACAGAAAGGAATATTTAATTAACTGGCCAATAGGTTTAACTCTACCATTTTACTCATTCATGCACTATGAGAAATTTGTAAACTGCATAAAATCCATTGGGCAAAAAATAATAGGAGGAAACTTTAAATAGCATGTGCTTTCACCTGTTACCAGAAAGAGATTAGCATCCCATGACAATGGCATGTAGGATAAACAGACTGGCAGTATTCTACATTTAATATGTTTGACCACCAGAAGGAAAAATAGAAGTTGAAGAAAAACAGACTTTGCAAATAACTGCAGGTGAAATTAGTTGTGAAAGATTCAGACTTATCTTTTCAAGAATTAGTTCATTCATTTACTCATTCCTAGAATAAAATTTGGGAAAACACCTTTAGAACTCCTGGAAAAATATGTGGGAAAGATGTGGAGGAAGACTGCTCTGATTATGAGACTAAATGTCATAGTTTGCTTTTTTTTAACTTTTTTTTTTTTATTCAGGCAAATGTAGAAACAAAACTCCAACACTGGAGTAATACACAGGAATTGCATGAGGCAGGGGTTATTGCAAAGGAAATAATATACAACAATTAATATAATTTATCATCTGTATGATCAATATAATGTTTACATATGGTAATATTCAAACAATTTTGCTAAAGACACTGGCTTACTGGTGAATATATAATATATGTATTAGCTGGAACTGCCTCCACTTCATAAAGCATATCTAGGTTATGTTTGGTCTACTTAATATAGCTACAATACTGTTTTGGTCCCTATGCATTCTTTTATTCATTCTTGCCCTAACTTCATTTACTAAAGTTTCTACTCTCCCATTATTACCTAGTGCAGTTTTCCTCCCATAAGTATCCTAGCTTGAGAGATGAATTTTTGAGCAAGGTAAATCTCAGACAGTATCATTTTGGAGCAGTAAAGAGGTCACTCACTACTGAGATTTTACAGTAGTGATTCTTAACCAGGGCATTGCAGCATCCTGGAATGCCAGGAGACCATTTTATGGGTGCAATGGGATGCCATGCAATAGTTGCTCTGTTAGCTGTGCAAATACCTACACAATTCACAAGGTAAACCCAGAGATTTCAAATAAGGATCTATAGGCTAGGGACAGAAATTATACACACAAACTGGTATAAGTGGGCAGAAACTAGTTCAAATCTGTAACACAACAGAAGTTCAGTGCACATAAACTGCTTTCAATAGGGCCGAAACTGGTTTAAGATACCCCTGGATGGATGTAGCATCAGATTTCACTAGTTTAGGTTAAATCAGTTTATTGAACTTCCATCACAGATCCCCTCCAGAGTCAAGTTAAGACACAGTCCCCCAGCATCCCAGGATGCTTTGCATCTCCCCCGCAAGCTCCCCCTCATGGGGTGGGCAGGCTAGCCTTGGCCCAAGGTGTCTGCTCCAGCCAAGCACGGAGGTGTGCTGTAGTGCCCACTGGCTTCTGGGCTGGCCACTGCAGGTACATGGCTGCATTTCCAGAATCAGAAGTGAATGTCTGTTCACTTGCTTATCAGTTCAATGTATGCAGTTTAGACTAACCTGCAAAGATTGAATTGATTCAGCCTCAGGCTTTTTGACTATCTGTACTTAGTCATAGTGTCAAAAACCTTCTGACCTGTTGTGGTCTTTTTGGGTTCTTTGCAGCAGGAGAATTTCTCGTATTTTTCCATAGTAAAAAAACTAAGAGCTGGCATTTTCCAAGGGGTGCCCTGAGTCTAAAAAGGTTGAGAACCAGTGCTTTTTACAGACTGGAGTTAAGTGATAGTGCTGTTGAAGAGGTGAGAATAAAACGGGTTGGTAAAGACATGCTTAAACGTTTTTAAAAGGCTATGTACTGATGTTCTTAAATGAGATTTAAATATGACAATGATGGAACGCACAATATAAATGCTGAAAAAGGTAACATGGGTTGGGATTTTCGAAATCTCTCAGCACTGGCCTTGGTCCTTCTAGTGAAGCAGATAATGAAAGTAGGACTGGTCCATGCAATGCGCTTTTGAAAATCTCAGTTGTACAGCCTTGAGCAATATAAAATTGGAATAACAAAGACTTTTAGTGTCTACAAGAATCATTTTCCTGTTGTTAGTCAATGGAGCCACTATAGAAGGAGGACATTAGTAGATACTGCCCATATGAATAACCAGATTATTTAAAATATAGGTACATCAGAAGGTGTGTGCAGTGATCCTTCTTGGATCATGGAAAGGAAAGAAGAAATAGATTGAAGATCTAACAGTATCAGATAAGAAGAAGAGAAGGAAAAGTAACTGGCAACATGTTGATTTGGCTTCTTCCGCCTGGCTCTTGGATGTAGGGCTAGATTAGCTACTGTGATCTCTGTGCTCAGCAGACGTAGCACTGGCATAACTGGCCTGGGGGTAGCTTCACTGAGAGAAACTTCTCCTTAGCTAAGAAGAGCTGACTGAGGGACTTCTACACAGATTGCTTCAGTGCTGCTAACACAGCAGAGAAGGGAGTGATGTCTGCAGGGAGTTCAGCCACTCCCTTGTTCTTGTGCCTGTTTATAGGCAGTGGAAATCAGAGCATCCTTCTGGCTGTTCTTACTTGGGGCATGGGGAAAGGAGCCTGCCCAGGGCTGCAGTGGGGTCAGAGCAAAGCTGCGTTTGGAGCCATTCCTAACCTGTGCAGATTGGCTGCCATCCAGCCATTACACAAAATGTTTTAGAAAATTGAAGTGAATGTAGGAAAGTGAGTAAAGAAGATCCTGTCCCCCATGAAGTCGTTGCAGATCATTGCAAAGCAAATAATGCACTATGCTTCAGGGGTACAGTGTGACACAGGTGACTGCACCAACTTAGAGGGATGCAGAATTTCAGAAGCTGCAAGGGACATTTGCAACACTTGTATGGCAGCAGGAGAGGTCCTGACATGATGGCACTGAGGATCTGCTGCAATATGCCAGGTAGAGCTGTAAGACAAACTGAAAGTGTTATAAACCAGTGTGCTTTCTGGCAGTGGTTCCCAACCACCCCTCCATAACTTTTGTGAATTGGGTGGCACCTCATTTAAAAAAAACTAATTTATATACTATAGTGTTAACCTTGTTGCAGAGGGACCAGGCAGTGGAGACAAGGGAGCAGCAAAGCAGAGAGAGTCTGAGCCTGCCTGTATCTGCTTATCTCCTCATATTTTGCTTTTTGCTTATCTTCTCACATGGGGTGCTATGTAATATTTCCTGTGCCACCATTCAAAGGATCTGGCAGAACTCCAGGTTGAGAATCACTGCTTTAGGGCATGAGCTAGCCTCTGTTGAGAAGGGCCAGAGTGATGCCTCTCTATGATCAGGTTATTCCATGACTGGCAATGCTGGGTTTCTTGGCTCTTTCTCTGAAGCACCTGGCACTATAATAGACAGGCTGCCAAGTTCTATGGACCAATAGCCTAATGTCCCGCATGACAGTTCTCTGACACCTATTTCCTTTGGTGAGGACTACAGGTTCCTTAATTTTTCTTCCCAAATATTTTATTAAGACTATTTTATTTTGGAATGTTGTCATATGAACTGCTTCACATTTTTTTTTTTTGCATTAGATTTTTTCCAGGGTTTTTTGATAAAACCCTGCCAAAAGGACCTCAAGGGATACAATAACTATTACATTCTGTTTGTACAACAAAGTTCTACATTGCATCCATTTTACATATATTTATATTACACTGTTTCATTTTAAAACAGGATTAGAGTGGAATGTAACCTATTGTACCATAACAAACAATCTGCAGTTCCGCAGACAGTAAGACGTTTTCCAATTAAATCCTGGTACATCTAAGACAACCAATTTTAATAGCTTTTCTAGTGATCTGATATGAAAAATATGTATTTTGATGTAAAAGGAAATGGCTGGCTTATGTTAGTCGTATTACCACTTTTGAGTATACTGTTTTAACATGGTTAGTTTGCTACCTCCTGTAATAACACAAGATTTCCTTAGTTTCCCTTTTTTACAGTAATCACTTAACTTTGTGTCTTAATTATTTGTCTTTTTCACGAAAGTACTAAACTGAAGTCTGTTCACTATATACAGAAATCACCCATGGCTTTTTTTTGGGTTTGATTTTGTACATCTTACCTTGACTGAATGCCTGAAATATACAGTTAATAAAAACATGTGAATTTAGACTCCAGATACTCTCCACTTCTATATCCATTTATGCATGTGCAAAGAGGGTAGAAGATAGGTACAGAATACTCTCAGTAATCTGAGCAAGCTGACCTTTCGCACCTACTTTGCACTAGTACGAGGCAGTGAAGATCAGGCTTTGAAAGTCTGGTGTCTACTGGCAGCACTCAGGCTCTGGGGCCCCCAATGATGGAAAA